GTTGGGTCTTTGCATGGGTTAATCCTTATATGACCCCAGTATATGCCCTATGATCCCCCACATAACCCCTATATAATCCCTTTACTCTCTATAGTTTCCACCCTAAATCCTAGGTGGGAACTGCTGGCGGTCGCACTCGCAGCACACGCGCTGGACTGCTGGTCTTGGTTGATTGTGCGGGCAGCGAGCGCCGCAAGGCCGGGATGCGAGCGTTGCTATTACTACTATTGCTACTATTACTACCATTATTATACTACTTTTTACTACCGTTACTACCTTGACTACTATTCTTACTATTATCACTGTTGTTGTCATTACTATTACTGCTACCATTACAGTTGTGAGATCGAGTGCTTGGCCGTGCAAGGACTCCATGTATCACTCCAAGGAGCGTCAGCAAGAAAGCGCCGAGATCAACACGTCGCCACAGGGCCAAGACATTTTTCCCAATGATTCACAGGCAGCCGTGAGCTGCAGCATTGGTCTATAACCCCTATTTGCTATAGTAGTTTCCAGCTTCTTTTCCACTATCCCTATATAACCCCTATATAACCCCAATCTATACCCTATTATAATCCCTGTAGTTTCCATTTTCTTTTCCATTATCCCTATACAACCCCTATACATTCTGAAGCTTCCGAGGCTCTGCGCGCTGAAGGACTGCTGCCGCGCTCTGGCTTCGATGCCACGCGTTCCGCGCGGAAGCCCAGAGTTGTTTGAGTCATCACCATGATCATGTCATGAAAGTGGAAACTCCTCTATTACAAAGGGGTAATATAGGAGACATATAGGGATAATGGAAAAGAAAACAGAAACTACTACATTATACAGGGGTGCTTTGAGAGTGTGAAGCTAGAGCTTCATGGGCTGCAAGTGGACATCAAAACCGCTACAAAGACTTTAATGCGGGTTCGAGGCCACACGTGCTGCGTGGTTCTGCTCTCACAAAGCTCCTGGCGCCGGGTCTTATCGGGGGTGGCAGGCCGAATCTGTTGTAAAGCCGATTGAGCAGAGAGACAGCTTCGCTCGAAGACATGGCTTCAGTACTTTATATTGTATACTATATACCATACATTACATACCATCTAGTACATACGACATGTTACATATTTAGACCATCTTCAGTTATATACCATGAGTTATATATCATCCAACAAAAGTTATAGACGGTATACCACATATTATGCTGTAGCTAATGGCAGTGGCTCAGTGCCTCCAGCTGTTCCTTGCGAGGCTGGCGGTGATTTGCACGGCTTCACCCTGTGCTTCAGACACGGAGCACACGGTGCGCCCCTCTGAAGGTGTTTCAGGGAGGAGGGTATATTGTACACAATAGATATATGGTATATAATGTATCGTATATAGTATATGTTATATAAACAACGGTATATGAAATATGGCATATAAGCTCTGGTATATAGTACATAATACATGGTATATTATGTACGGTATATAGTATGTATAGTATATATCGTATATATATTACATACAAAGCGTATGCCGTAAGAAGCTTCTTCTGAGGTTGCGACACTTCGACTCGGCGCAGCCTTGGCAGGGTGCATCGAGAAGGAGGAGAAGGCCAGAGCCCTCAGCGGAGATGACGCAAGCTGTGCTTGGACATGCTATATCTCATATATGATAATATAATTATGTACATATCTATATATACTTTACACGATATACTATATACTGTATAGTATACATTATATATGGTATATGTACATATGATATATTATACACTAAATTGTTCATATTGTATTAAATTACATACCATCCCCGAATTACATTGCAGGAGGCCCTCGAGATCCGCGAGCAGCGCCCCACGAAAACTCATCCGAATCAATGGACGCCAGAACTTTGGCACTGGTTAAGCCACCCCCCCCCGGCTTTGACTGAAACATACTGAAACGCATCATTATTTTTCCGGCGCTTAGTTTCATGCAGTAAGGAAGAGGTTCGTGTTTGGATCGCCAACTTGGATTCCGGTAGCTTCGTGGATGTCCTGGGCTGTTTGCCTTCGGACACCACGGGCCAGATGCTGGTCCGCTTCACCGCCAAACGTTGTGCGCAGCTTTGCGGCAGTTCGAGGCGTGGCCAAGATTTCTTCAAGCTCCTACACGAAGCCATGCAGGATGATGCCAAGTCCCAAAAGTCCTCCAAGAGCTTGGGACTTGCGCAAACAGCGCCGACCAATGTCTTCGGCCAGCGCCAGAAAAATCAAGGGTGCTGCAAGCTTCACTCACTGCATGGCCAGGTTTCCACTTTCAGCCACCTTTGTGTAAGAGAAGCATTCCCTGCATTTCTGCAACCAGCAATCGCTGATTTTTCGATTGTTCCCTTGCAGCCATTCTGCCAACACATGTATGCAAAATGATTCAACAGCTGTACGATCTTCACCCCTGATCTTTCTAACTAGCAAGGGGTCTGGCTTGCTTTACGGTAGGGAAAGGAAGTTGCCTGACGGTCTGGCCGTTTGTTTTGCTTCTTGATTGGGCAACGGCTCGCATCGGACACGTGCGGTTCCACTTCAACATCTCAACTGGAAGCACTGCTCGACTGCCCACTTTTATCCATTTTCTTGTGCATCTCGATTCAGGGCGTGGGAGATGCGCACGGATTTTGTACCATGCATGAGCTAGGGATTGGAAAAATTACGTTTTTTCGTTCTTCCGGTTTTCCTGTCGTTTAGGATGCGGGCATAATGCTCCGAAACCCGACTTTCAAATGAATTCCTTATTACTTAAATATATTCTATGATTGCGTGAGGGGGCATGATTTGGAGATATTTTGGAGATTTTAGGTCTCCCCCCCCCCCCCACCCTATTGGGGATGTAAATATCTTGTCATTGCCATCGATATAAGTCCTAAAGACGGAATATCCGTCGAATATCTCAATGAAATCTTATATAAGATATCCTAATGAAGCCCATTCGCGGAATATCCCTGAAATTTCGCATACGAAATATTTGAATTCAATATCGATCTCAGATTTCTTTTGGAGAAGGCGCCAACCGAAAATCTCTTCTTCAAAAGATCTCAATATTCCTGGATTTTTTAGGATCTCGAATTTTTATGATTTCTATCTTATTCAGAAATTTATTGAATACGAATGTGGATTATGAAAATTGATTTTCTGAATTATTCTAAAATTCGGATTAGATTAATACGGAACCATTCGAATGATTTGAATTTCCTAAATTCAAATATAAATGGCATATAATCTAAATATCTTAAATTTGAAATGATATTATGAATGAAATATTATATATATATTCCCAGATATTTTTCATCGATTTATATTTAATAGAATTCGTGATTTTATTATAAGGAATCATATCTCGAATATGAAATGATGATTTCGTGAAATAGATAAGAATATTAATTGAAATATTCAAAAATCTATTTTTATGATATTCTAATTAATATATATATATGATAGAAATTATATAATTTCGAATATCGTCAATAAAATATCAGAGGTCGATAAAAGATCGATTATTTTAAATTAGCTATTCTTCTCCTGAAATGATTTCGGTAGATATTAGTCGAATGAAAATTTTCAGCTACCGGATTTTCTAAAATGAATTTTAATATATCCGAATCTTGGAGAATGAGAATAAGATTATGAATATCATTTTCGTTGAAAGATCATAAATATCGTTTTCGTGGGGCTTCTTATTAGCTATTTTCCATACGGATCCCAAATCTCAATATTTGAAATCTGCGGGGAAAAAAACGAGGCGTTATTCTTCCTAAATTTGAATATAAAGAATATTTGATAAATATTCCAATTCGTATGATTTTCATGAAATCTATTGAAAATATATGAAAAAGATTTTAGATAGAGATTATGAGAAAATTAGCTGCAAATATCATATAATTGCATATATCCCAGAAATCCTCTCCAGACACTTGGGCAATGCCCCCCTTCTCTAGGAAGGTTTAGATCCTCCTTGAACGCCGAAGAATCGAGAGATCAATTAAATCGAAATCTGGGAAATAAATCTTCATATAAATCCAATGATCATGAGAGCCTTCTTTCAGAGATAATTCTGATTTTTGCATAGATATCAAGAGGACGCTTGATTAAATCAAAATACCAAATATCTTGATAATTGGGAAATGAAGCTCTTCGGTCCATATAAATGCGTCGCTCATCAAGAGCATCTCCAAAATAGATGAAAATATCGTAATTTCTCAAGAAAGGATAATAGTCAAATATCGGAATTTTGGAAGTGAACGCCTGATCAAAATAAATGAATAAATATCTTGAAAAAAGAATCAGAAATTCAAATGAAAATATGGGAATCCTCATAATTTGGGATTTTGAAATTATTCGAGATATAAGCCGCGACCGGATTCCGGCAAAATCCTCATATTATATCCTTTCCTGAGGAAGACGCTCTCGCCAAAGAAATCCCGCTTCCTCATCCCAGATATAACAAGACCTGCGTACTCGAGCATATTTTGAGGCATTTCACGATACGTCATGAAGCTTTTAATATTTTCTATTATTTGCTTTTTAGCTATTCTTCAAGGAGACGTAGATGCCAAAGAAATATTGCTGCATCATACCGGATAAAACAAATCAAACGCATTCTAAGGCATTTCGGTATAGATAATTTAATTTCTATGGCATTCAATTACGTCTATAATTCCCATTCTCCAAGAAGACGATCTTTCTAAAGAGATATCATTTCAAGATGCCGGACGCATCAAATTGGGCAGATTCAACGGCATTTCACGATATATAATGAAATTTCTTTTATATTCTATTGAATATTTTATATTTATTTGTCGAGAGAAAATTATTGCCCTATCTGGATGCAACAAATTGATTGAATACATACTAATACGTTTCGTGATGCCTAGTGAAGAAGAAGTAGCAGCAGCACTACTAATAATAGAAATAATGATAGCAAGAGTTCCAATAGCAATATCACTAATAGTGGCAGCAACAGCGGTAGCAGTTCTAGTAAGAAGAATAATTTCAAAAATAAGGTTATATATTTATAGATATATATATATAGAATATCTGAAAAATAGGAATCAAATTGAACATTGAACGATCTTTGATCGTAAAAGGAGAATGATTCTCCGAAGAATATCCGCAAAGGAAATTTGAAGATATCTATCTATCCTATATTTGAGGATAAGAATATATTATTCTTATAATCCTTATTTCATCAGATCTTATCTGGAGAGCTCTCTTGCAGCAGCATGCTTTCAGGATGGCAAGAAATATAGCTATAAGGATAAGAAAAATCATGATAATGATATCTTACGATTGAAAAATACGAAGAATAGCAATGAATATGAATCCCATTACGAGGCGATTTTTTAGATAAATATTTATTCTTATAATTAATTTTATCATTGCTATATATCTTTTCTTATTCTCAAAATATCATTATCGTATTTCTTCATTTTTCCGGTTATATTTCATATGATTCGATTGCTGGGATAATAATCATCTAATATCGGCGGATCCTGCAAAGATTATTATCAATCCAATTTCCGTCGTAATCGGAATGATCAGGAATCATATAATCATTATAAATGATTACGAATTATTAGGAAACGACAAATTATATTAAGATATATTGGGAAATAATAGGAAATATTAGGAATTAATACGAAATTTTTCGAATCATTATAAATATTAGGAATTCTTAGGAATGATTGGGAAATATTAGAATGATTATATAAATATCATAAAGAAATATTATATCATATATATATCATTATTCTCTTATATAAAATATATTCATCAATCAATATATATATAATATATAAAAAATATCATGATATATATCCTGGCATTCTCTTATAATTCCTCATAGAAATATATTCAAATATATATAGAATTCAATTAATATTCTAATAGAATCTATTGGGAATCCCGACGATATAATATATTTGGGTCATCCTTATGGTCATCGGACGATGAAATAATATGACGATCAACGCTCAAAGGGATTTCAGGCCAAAAAGGAGATAAATATTGCAAACGGCATGAGAATATTCTCTAGAGGCGCATTCCAAAGAATTTGGATATGAAAGGTAAGGATGATCTAAATAGATGATTTAATACGAATTCCTTAGAATACGACGAATAAATATTAGTGCGGCATCTAATAATGAGAATAGAAATATATAATTCCTATGAAATCAATCAAAGAGATATTCCAAGATTTTCGAAATATATATCTTGATATTTCGACGCAGATCTCTTTAAATTATTGAGATCAAATATTTATAGAATATGATGATATCAAAAATTATATATATAAATCTTCTTCGGAAAGATTTGAAATAAAACGATCTCCTGATTTTTCTTCTTATCTTATTATCGCCTGAATTTGAAAATATATCGATATTCATATTTCCCATGACTATTAATTATATCTATTTTGAAATATAATAGAAGACGATTTCCTAATTTTTTATCTTTCGTAGCTCGTAAATAAGAGTATTAATAAAGAATATCTTTCCCGATTCTTATATCGTATCTAATCCCTATAGATAAATATCTAAAAAGATAAATGAAGAAAGATATATAGAAATAAGAGAGAAATAGAAATAATTAGAAATCGAGAAAAATTATAGAAATTATTCGGCGAATAGAAATATATTAGAGCGGATCTATTGCTTATAGCAACGGAATATCGTCGTTGGAATATACTCGTAACGGCAAACGAGCTGATACGGAAGAAAATAATGTTTGAAACCCCAAATCCTGCATCCTTATAATTTGAGATCTCGAGTCTTGAATAAATGTCGGTTTTTTGAAGTTGAGGGCTGCCAGGCTAACAGCAACTGAGAAAATTACATAAGCGGAGGCATTATCATATCTATCAAATTCTTATTTTCAGGCATTCTTGAAGGACGGATTTATAGATTCGAGGCTAAAGATTTCATTTGAAACCCGAATCGTGATATTTCATGAAGCGCCGTATCATAATTATTTATCTTGTGGGAGAATATCGGGAGATCATTCTACGAGATTCTAAGAAAGCAAAAAAATCCTTCCTATTAGTTGCGTCGATCAAAAACGACTAGACTATAGATTCTGAAATATTAGCTCTGCATGTCGACTCTATAAATTCCATCGAACCATTACGCAAATATCATAAAGAAAGAAATAATTCCAAATCTCGAAAGATGTTTTGCATCCAATCAAAAATCTCCGAC